AGACATCAGTAGCTGATGGTAGTAGGATGGTTTTGTTCCAGACATTTCTTCTGACACATGTAAAGATCCTCAGACACATTTTATCTGTTTTTCTTTCTCTCTACTTTTCTTTCTTTCTTCTTTCCTTTCTTTTCTTTTTTCTCTCTCCCTCCCTTCCTTCCTTCCTTCCTTCCTTCCTTCCTGTCTGTCTGTCTTTCTTGGTATTGATTGCCCTGTTGCCTAGGCTGGTGTGCAGCAGCATGATCATAGCTCACTGCAGCCTGTAACTCCGGGGCTCAAGTTATCCTGCCACTTCAGCCTCCTGAGTAGCTAGGACTACAAGCACTTGACACCGTGCCTAATTTTTAATTTTTTTTGTAGAGATAAGGTCTCACTGTCTTGCCCAGGCTGGACTAGAACTCCTGGGCTGAAGTGATTCTCCTGCCTCTGCCTCCCAAAGTGCTGGGATTATATAGGCTTATGCTACCATGCCTGGCCCACATTTTTCATCTTTCTTACTCTGTATAGAAAGTGGGTGCTTTGGACGTGAGTACAGTGTTCATTTTCCCGATGCAAACATTGAGATGCTGGGGAGATCAACAGCAAGCTTCTTGAGGATGGAGGTGTTCTGTCTCCATCCCCAAACAGCCCCAGTGTGAGGGTGGGGTCTGTATACAGTAGATGCTCAGTGGTCGTTTGTCAGATCAATTTGTTCCCCATAGTTTACTCCATAGGGAAGCCATTCTTGTTATCTACATCACTGTCATTCTCATTTTAAAAACAAAGAAGGTAAGGTTCAGAGAGATTAGGTAAGTCCAGTGACACAGCGTGAAAAAGGCACAACCAAGACCCAAAGGGTGGCCTCTAACTCCACATGCTGTGCAGTCTCCGCGTCGCACTGCCCTGCTGGTAGCCAGCAAGAGGATTCAAATAATGGGTGTGTGTGGATGTGACTGGAAGACAGGGGAGATGGAAGTTCCTGGGCTTGCTGAGAACCTAATGGCGTGTGATATCTGGGAAAGAGCAGGAACCTGGGACTCAGCTTGATCCGCATTGACTCCTAAACTCTGCTTCCTGCTGTCTGCGTGGCCATGGGCTAGACTCGGAACCCCCGGGACGCAGTTTCCTCATCAGCAAAACTGGCATAATAGCATCTTCATCTTAGGTCTGTAACGAGAAGCGAATGTGATCAAAAGATGACGTCTAGTGTGCAGTACGTTCTCGATTCACAGTAGTTTATTTTATTATTATCAGTTTAAACATTTTTGTTGCTGCTGCTATTTGCCTTTAAGCACATAAAACAAAGAATAGATTTCTAAATTGCATCATATGTTACAATAAGTGACCTTTAAGATTATTCAGAGAGTCTGATCTTTTTGGTAGACATAGGAACAAAAGCAAGGTTCCTTTTTCTGTAACTGCTGTTTTCTAACTTCGAAAAGCTGAGGTGACATATTTCCTAGTATTGTTTCTAAAAATATGAAGCCTGCTTCATTGCACCATGGTCGGTTGGTTCACTTATTTTGTAAGTGTCAAGTTAGGACTCAGCAAGGGGGAAGAGTCTCCCCCAGCTTTAAAGTCTACCGTCATTGGTCCATGCCTTGCATTGCCCATATCTTCATTGCCTTGTAATTTTTCTGTTGATGCATTTGTCTCTCCTGCTCCACAGAAGAACCAAGAACTGTTTACCATTGTATCCTCAGAGCCAAGCGCAATCCATAGTACATACCAGGCGAGCCCAGTAATGTTTTCTCTTTTTCTGAATGAATGAATGAAATGGGGTAGGAGTAAAAGGAGACAAACATAGCACAACATAGATTAGGATCAGTTACTCATTTTCTTTTCTAAGAAATGCGGAGGCAGCGCGACCCTGTGTTAATATATAAATAAGAACATGCAGCTTCACGCTTCTCCTCACTGAGCCGTGAAATAAGTAGAAAGGTGGCAGACAAGATCTAGCTGTGTGGGAGATTCCGTAGAAGGAGGGGATAGGTTTAATTTGGCCTTTTTAGGATGCTGAGTTTATGCCTCCAAGTGTCAGAAGCTACAGATGTCTGCTCCTCTGCAAGGGAAGGTGACCTTGAAGGTGATGTTATTGATGAGCTTTATTTAAAACACAGGCATGTTCAGGAGCTACAAGACTAATTGGGTGTATTAAAATATTTAAATCAAAAGTGCAGCTACTTAGTGCGTGTTGGCAAACATGTTATGTTATGGTTGTAAAAATGATACATGCTCACTATAGAAACTTTAGAAAGATCAATGGAAAGAAGTGATTCCACCACCCAGAGATAGGAGCTGATAGCATTTTGGTGAATATTTTTCTTTTATTTTATATACATGTTATTAATATTTTTACAATGGTTCATTTTATACTTTTTGCCATAAAACCTGCTTTAGAGAAAACAGCAATAAATAGTGAACATTTTCCAGACCAGTATATCTTCTTGTGTGACCTAATTTTAGTGGCTGCTTAGCATTGCTAAGAGGTCCTGATGCTGGGGCATGTCTTGGGCTACTAAGAAAACACCTGATTTTTGTAGCTAATCTTTGTGTAAAACTATGATTATTTACAGGCAATCAATACTTAGATGTGGGAATGTAGCATTCCAAGTTCTATTTAATTTTAAGTGTCATTCTTATTCCCTATCTCACCAAAGACTTATGGTTTGGGAAAACCTTTGACAGGCCAGTTTGTTAGGTGAAAGATGATGTTTTATGTTGTTTGGATTTTAATTAAAAACTATCTTTGGAGGCTGGGCGCGGTGGCTCATGGCTGTAATCCCAGCACTTTGGGAGGCCGAGGTGGGCGGATCACGAGGTCAGGAGATGGAGACCATCCTGGCCAACAAGGTGAAACCTCGTGTCTACTAAAAATACAAAAATTAGCTGGGTGTGGCGGTACGTGCCTGTAGTCCCAGCTACTCGGGAGGCTGATGCAGGAGAATTGCTTGAACCTGGGAGGCAGAGGTTGCAGTAAGCCAAGATCATGCCACTGAACTCCAGCCTGGGCAACAGAGCTAGATTCCATCCCCCGCCCTACACACACAAAAAAATCTTTGGATAGTAATCATTTTCCTTAACACTTTGCAATTCGTTTTTTGTGTTTTGTTTTGCTTCATTTATTTCTGAGGTGGGGGATCTTGCTATGTTGCCTAGGTTGGTCTCAAATTCCTAGGCTCAAACAATTCTCTGCCTCAGCCTCCCAGGTAGCTGGAACTACAGGTGTGCATCACCACGCTCAGCCGTATTCCATTATTTTGGAATTTCTGGTTGGTGCTCTTGTCTTTTCCTTCATAATTTGATGGAACTTTTTAAAATTAGCAATATTAACCCTTTTTCTGCCATATGTGTAGCAATATATTTTTCCCAACCTGTCATTTGCCTTTTAGTTTTAGTTGGTGGTGTTTTCTTAGACATAGCTTCCCTGGATTGTTGATGTAGTTTTGCTTAGGGTAAATTGTTTTTCTGCCCACCTGCATTCCACTGGAAATGGAATGTTTTAAGGGTGAATTTGTTATTCTTTGGTGACAAATACCCGCAAGTGTCCTGTAAAGACAGCTCACCAACGTAAGGCCCACGCCTGTGCCACATTTTCACCAGCATCACTGTTACCAAATATGTCAACTCTGGCAAGAATAAGAGAAGAAGCCTAACAGATTTTAAGTGGTTTTGACAGCTTTTCAGCAAATCTTTTCTGAGAAGCTCACACCCAAGCATCTACAAATCAATCACCCCTCCTTTTAATCTCCATCAAGTTCAGTTCTGGAATTTGCTCCTGTTTGGATAATCCAAGGCAGTGCTATCCAATAAAATCTAGTGTGAGCCATATACACAATTTTAAACGATCTAGTAGCCACGTTAAAAAAGATTAATGGTCAGGCGCGATGGCTCATGCCTGTAATCCTAGCACTTTGGGAGGCCGAGGAGGGAGGATCACTTGAGGTCAGGAATTCGAGAGCAGCCTTGCCAATATGGTGAAACCCCGTCTCTACTAAAAATACAAAAATTAGCTGGGCATGGTGGCACACGCCTATAGGCCCAGCTACTCGGGAGGCTGAGGCAGGAGAATTGCTTGAACCCAGGAAGCTGAGGTTACAGTGAGCCAAGATTGTGCCACTGCACTCCAGCCTGGGTGTCGCAGTGAGACACTCTTTAAAAAAAAAAAAAGGATTAAGAAGAAAGTTAATCAAGTGAAAATTTCAGGAATTAGATGAAATGCTACCAGGAGCTCAGCTGCATATTCTAGAACTCTTGGCCTAATTTTATTAAGTTCAACTCTGTGATAAGTGCTGGGAATAAAAAAAAAATGTGATGTGGGCTCTGCAAGAAGTGTATTTCTCTGTGATTAAAGCTGATTGTGGGAGAAAATCTTCTGAAACCCTCAGTGACAGCCTTCTCATTGACTAGTGACTCAAACATTAGTGCAAAGTGGAAGATTCTAAATGAGCAGAGGAAGGGTGGATGCCGTAAAGGCAGGGGAACTGGTGAATTTCAGAAATAGTGAGTGTGAATTCAACACTCCTAATCATTTGAATAAAGATCTTGTTATATTCCCCCAAATTAATAAGAAACAGGTGAAATTAATTTTAACAATACATTTAATTCAATTCAATATATCCAAAATATTATCTCAACATGTAATGAACTTAAAAATATTACTAATGAGTTATTTTGTACTCTTTATTTTCATACTAAATCCTTAAAATCTGGTGTGTGTTTTACACTTTCAGCACATTTTAATTTGGGCTAACCATGTGTCACATGTGGCCACGGGCTACCTTATGGGACAGTGCAGGTCCCATAATAGTATTCTGACTAAGGGGAAAAATAAAAAATCCCAAGAGATTGTAATTAAGGTAGAAACTTACATTTAGGAACTCATCCTAAAAACAGGTAAGTACCCTCCTAAGTATGAGAACAGATGGGGGCCACTTGGAGTTTCTTACTCTTAAAATACTTGTCAACATGAGGATTTCAGCTTCCCCAAACCTGTATCAATAGGTATGTGTTATTTTAAGGGCCAGTGGAGACGACACCCACGCCTCACTCAGAACGGAGCCGAGGCTGTTGGAATGCACTGCTCAGGACAGCTTGCACGTGTCCATCACGAGACGAGACTGGCTTCTTCAGGAAAAGCAGCAGCTACAGGTGAGCAGGTGAAAGATCTTCAAGAAATATCATGGCATTTTTCTTTTCATTGAGACGGGGTCTTGCTCTGTTGCCCGGATTGGAGGGCAGTGGCGCAATCATAGCTCATTGCAGCCTCGAGCTCCTGGGTGATTCTCCCACCTCAGCCTCCCAAGTAGCTGGGACTACAGGCATGACCCCCATGTCTGGCTAAATTTTTTAATTTTTAGTAGATATCAGGTCTTAGTATGTTGCTCAGGCTGCTCTTGAACTCCTGGGCTCAAACAGTCCTCCTGCCTCAGTTTCCCAAAGTGTTGGGATTACAGGCATGAGCCACTGTGCCCAGCCGGCATTTTTCTTATCCATTTAAGCCAAATGCAGCCAAGTGGGTCTTACTTTCCTTGAGTGTAGCAATTAGAGCCTTGGCTGTCAAGCTGGGGAGTACAAAAAGGAGAGTTGGTGGGAATGACTAGAGGGCTTGTAGGAATCTCATTACAAACGAGGGTTGAAAGCTCAGCAGCGTTTGTGCCTGTTTTCGATATTCCTCATTACCTTTTGAATATGCTTTTCTTGTCTGCCAGGCCAATTTGCCACTTCTTATCATTTTGACCTTTAGAAGCTTCCTTTGAAAGGCAGAAAGACATCTGTGCTGTGAAAATCCTTTGTGGAAATTCCTATCATAGTAGTCTATGAGCTGAAGTTGTTAAGAGACAGAGTTGTAAGTCCGGACTGAGCAAGGCAGGCACATCTGGAATGATTAGCCGACTGCGTGGAAGCCCAAAGTTGGCCCAGAACAGACGATGCAAGCTGGCTAAGAATCATCGAGAGGCTACAAATCTGGGTGCAGCACCGAGTTAAAGCCAGAGCTCTGGAAGTTGACAGGGCACCCGAGAGGCAGGGAATCTTGAAACAGGGTCCGTGCCTGCTTGAGCCTGGAGTTGTGAAGCATGAGTGGGGAGCAATGAGAACGCATTGATTGGAAGCTACGTGACTTCATGGGAAGAGCATAGGTCTTCAACATTCAAGTTCAAATCCTGGCTTAGGCTGGAGGCTTCCCCTCTCTGCTCCGGCCATCGAATATTTTTGTTATCTGAATTTGCCCCATCCAGGTCACTTCAAGAGTAAGGAGGCAAAGGGAGGAAAAAGTCAGGGCAATTTATTTGAAACCATTTCCTCCATTAACTGAGCACTTATGTAGTCAATGTGTTATACTGTTTGGATAGCTGAAAATGTGATCTCTAGTTTTTCATTTTTAATAACATTTGCCAATTAAAGGTCTACACAATTCCTGAGAAAGTCAGAGTGTAGAGAAAATAATTTTAGCCCTGGGCACTTAGTGTTTGAAGCACTCTGGGAAAGGTACTTGAATATTCATTTATTCAACAGACATTTATTGAGGGTTCACTGAGTGCCAGATACTGTTTGAAATGCTTGAGATTCCTGGGGAGCTTTTGATTTACTAGGGGTGAGAATGGGGAGATAGACAATAAGTGATAAACAAAATAAAACCTCTATTAAATAACTGGTATGTTGTAGGGTGATAAGAGCTTCCCAGAGTAGACTAGGATGATGTGGAGGATGGAGTCTACTCTTTGAGAAGTGAGATTGGACCCAACAGTTGAAAGAGGAGAGGGAGTAGGCCTTGCAGAAATTTCTGCAAGAGGATCCTGCAGGGGGATACCAAGATGAAGCCCTAGAGTGGGAGTGGGCCTCATGTGTTCAGAGGGCAGCTGGAGGCCCATGTGGCTGGAGCAGTGTAAATGAGGGGGAGGATTTGGGGAGGAAGTCAGAGATAAAGGGGCCTTGTAAGGATTTGGAATTTTCTCAGATTGCAACAGGGAACCATTGGATGCCTTCATTTAGGGAGAGTTTTTTGCCTGTATAATGGTGTTCAGCTGCAGTCAGAGTGTTGCTTTTAGGAACATCTAGAAAGTTTAAAGTAAACAATGCTAAATGGAATTGATCTGACCACATTGTAAATAATTTGACCCTGTATTAGGAATAGGATGTAAGACAATATGGAAAACAGTATGCAGCTTCCTTAAAAGATTAAAAATTGATACACTGTGTGGTCCAGCCACCCCCGCTTCTGGGTGTGTATATATATCTCTCTCTCAAAAAAAATTGAATGCATAGACTCAAAGAGATGTTTACACACCTATAGACTCATAGCAGCATTATTCACAATAGCCAAAAGCTGATAACAACTCAAGTTCTCATCAACAGATAAGTGGTAAACAAAATGTGTATGTACACGTAATGGGATATCACTCAGTCTTGAAAGGAAATTCTGACACATGCTACAGCATGGTTGAACCTTGAGGACGTTATGCTAAGTGAAATACGCTGGTCGCAAAAGGATAATGCTGTATGATTCCACTTGTATGAGTTACCTAGAGAAGTCAAATTCATAGAGAAAGTAGAATGGTGATTCCCAGGGACTTGGAGGAAGAGAGAATGGGGAATTAGTTTTCAATGGGTACAGAGTCTCAGTTTTGCAAGATGGAGAGTTCTGTGGATGGATGGCAGTGATGGTTGTACAACAATGTGAATGTGCTTAATGCCACTGAACTCTACACTTAAAAATGCTCAAGATATGGCCGGGCGCGGTGGCTCAAGCCTGTAATCCCAGCACTTTGGGAGGCCGAGACGGGTGGATGACGAGGTCAGGAGATCGAGACCATCCTGGCTAACACGGTGAAACCCCGTCTCTACTAAAAAACACACACAAAAAAAACTAGCCGGGCGAGGTGGCAGGCGCCTGTAGTCCCAGCTACTCGGGAGGCTGAGGCAGGAGAATGGCGTAAACCCGGGAGGCGGAGCTTGTAGTGAGCCAAGATCCGGCCACTGCACTCCAGCCTGGGCGACAGAGCGAGACTCCGTCTCAAAAAAAAAAAAAAAAAATGCTCAAGATGGTGAATTTTATGCTACATGCGTTTTACCAGTTAAAAAAAAAAAAACTAAAAGAAAAAGAAAAGAATAGGGTAGAGGAAGTCAAAGGTGGAAGTAGAGCGGTTAGTTGAGAGACTTTGTCAGTAAGACTGTAATCTTGGAGCAATTGGGGACGCTGAGGCTTTACGTTTTTCTCAGAATGTCTTGGTAGTAGACAATCTTTAGTAACTCCCAATTCTTCTCCCCAATCCCATACTTGAAGTGGGTTCAGGAGGTAGAAGTTGCGGGTGATGCACCTTGGGGCTGAGAGAACGTGAATAAGAAGTTAGAGACACCCAGGATTAGAGTTGTGCTCTTATCAGCATAAAACTTGGGAGTATGTTAATTAAGAGTCTTATTTTTGATTCAGAATCATATGGGCAGTGAGATGATGATCTGCTATAACACTGTGCACACGATGGGCGTTCATTACCTGCTGCTTGTTTAGTTAATTGACCTTAATGTTAAATGATATTTTATGGATTCTTTGGATTTCAGTTTGCTATATTTGCAGAAATTACATTTTTTATATTGTCATGAACTTTAGGCTGCATGGCACCATCTGCAGCATCTCATTCCTCTCTCAGCCCTGTAGACTTAAGAAGTCATTTTTTACCTTTCTCTCTACTTTGAATTCTTGTGTTCGGGGACAGACTAACAAAGGGTTGCTTGCATTTCTTGTTTTGGTCTGTGGCTGGGGTTACCTGCTTAGCTCAGACCTCAGGTGCGTAAGGCTCCCTGCCCTGTGTCCTAACTCGTCCATCTGAGATGAAGTAAGTCATTTATGTATCTGCTGGGTTCTTCCAAGTCAAATTCTTGGCTCACCCCCCATAGTTATTTAATGCTCGGGAGGGAATGTTTTTCCTTATGCCAACTCATTAGAAATATAAAGCTGGCATGATTTTTCCAGTTCAGCAAACCTCCAAAAATCTGCCTGCCTCAGAAGGGGAGCTTCCTGGTTCTTGTGCATATGGCCAATTCTCATTTAAACGAGTCATTATCCTCAGAGCAGTTTGCCGTGAGCAGGGTTAATTTATAAAATCTCGACTCCTCATTCTCTATAGAAAGAAATCGAAGCTCTCCAAGCAAGGATGTCTGTGCTGGAAGCCAAAGATCAACAGCTGAGAAGGGAAATAGAGGAGAAAGAGCAACAACTCCGGTGGCAGGGCTGCGACCTGACCCCACTGGTGGGCCGGCTGTCCCTGGGTCAGCTGCGGGAGGTCAGCAAGGCCTTGCAGGACACCCTGGCCTCAGCCGGTCAGATTCCCTTCCATGCAGAGCCACCGGAAACCATAAGGAGGTACTGGTGATTTCCTAACTGATTTTGGGCCACTCACCTCTTTGACCTGTTCATTGGAATGATTTTGTCTAATGCCTTTCATCTCTAAACATTTCCTGAACAGTCTGTGTTTTTCAGTGGAAGCACCATTAGTGTTTTGGGTGGGAAAATTCTTCACGGTGTGGGGCAGTCCTGAGCATTGCAAGTTATTTCACCTCCTGGCCACTCAACCCACTAAATGCCAGCGCTCCTCCCCGTTCCAATATGCACCTTCCCCATTTCCAAACACCCTCCCCATTTCCAAACACCCTCAGGACACCCTGTCTCCCTTTGAGAACTATCGGAGTTCAATGGGCTAAAGATCCTGATGCCAACTTTTGCTGAGGATGATCATCTGGAGAGGGGCGAACTATGCCTCTCACTAAGGGAGGAGGTGAACCACTGAGAGAGGGACAGCCAGTGACAAAGTTTCCATCTGGAAGAATGGATTGTTATTGGCAGCTAAAATGCACTGGGTGCTTACCATGCACCAGGCACTGTTATAAGCTGACTCTATGAGTTACTTCTGTTGTTATATTCATTTTACAGGCGAGGAAAAAAAGTTTAAGAAGGTTATAATTTGCCCAAAGTCCTAATTCATAAGAGAAAAACCTGATATTTACACTCCTGTTGATTAATTAATTCTCAAACCTGGATCTGCAGAAGTGAAGCATTCGAAAGAAGCCAGTGTAGAGCCAGCTGGCTCAACAGGTCAGAGAGATTGCTTGGTCCAGTATTTTTAACTAATTGGACGTGATCCTGTGAACCTAATTTTTGCTATGAAGTATTGGTTGTCTTTTAGAAAATGCTGACTTAGGGAGAATATCCAGTAGTTATATTCAGCCAAATGAACCCATCTTACATATATCAATAGCTACCTTTGTTGTTCATGAGAATAGGCTCTTCTTAGGCCAGATGGGAGAGTCAGACAAATTGTGAAACAGGAAAACCTTGAAGTCTTATAAAGAGAAGTTGCAGAGACTAGTATTGTTACAAAACCTGGAGAAACAGATCACTCAACATCACGACTGTTATCATCATCTATAAGGATTTTCATAGAGGCCAGATGCAAACTGAGGGTGCCATCTGCTTGTAATTTACTCAACTTTCTAACATGCAATTGCAAAGGGAAAGATATGCTTTGTTTCGTGGACAATGACCCACGAGCTTGAAAAGAAACTTCCTGATAGCACGTGGCCTTTCTGGATGTGTCACTGGTGGAGACTTACAGTGTTTGCATGGAGGCCATCATTTCTGACTGTGGCTTGTTGGGAACTCCCTGGCCAATGTCAGAGACAGGCTGGAAGTAGAGGGCATGTGCTGGGGTCAAGGACACCCAATGATTTTAGGTTTGGGTGTGATAATAGAAATCAAAGAAGCCATTTGAATTTTCCAATGTCTGTGTTCTGGATCAAATAACTTAGCAGGAGGAGATGAAGTGTTACCATCCCAGAGACATCATAGACACTTTTTGTGTGGAGCCAACAAAAATGGTTTTCTTCCAGTGAACAAAAGGAGAACCCTTTTTAAGCACTGGAGAATCAGAAGCTCCACAGTATGGAAGCTGACAGAGCAGGGGTGCATAAAAGGACAGGAACCAATTAAAAGATACGTTCATTTGAATTTCTTTCATCCCTGGGATTTCAATCCCTCTGCTTTAAAACAAGTTCCTTATTTTCTCCTGCAAGTCTTCCTTTGATGTGAGAGTCTTAGAAGAACCACTTTTACCCAGTGAGCTTGGTTCTTCTCCCACATGAAACCCATGGTTCTTGTTCCACCCCCTCCTGACTGCACTCCCATTCTCTGTAATGGGATTGTGATGTGGGGGTGGGGGAGGGAGGAGAGGGAAAAGATGGGGGACACAGTGTCCAAGGTTTTCTGTGGATCACATCCTGCCGTGTGGGGCGTGTGGTTCCATCTATTTATTTGGCGTAAATTGAGGAGAATGGTGATTTGCAGCTCATCTCTCTCTAGCACCATTAGCTCAGCCTCCCCTGGCTTCTTGTTGGTTTTATGTGTCAGGAAAACCAGGGGAGGGCAGCCTGTGACCTCATGTGGCATGCATATGGCTAACTGCAAAGTGAGGGAGGAATAATTATGGTAATAATCACAGTGATGACGTGGAGGGCTGCCTAGGATGCTTTCTAACGTTCTTTAGCAATGCTTGACTGGCTTGTATTCATCTGGGGTTGAGTCCTTCGTTCCTCAGCTCCTGGGATTTTTCATGCTTCATGTAAAATGTGTTCTGGCAGCTTACGGACGAATTGTCGCTTGTTGTGCATTTGGAAGAAACATGTCACATCTTTTTACAAACCATTGGCACAAAGTGTGAAACAAACTCAACCCCTGGTTACAGCAGGGCTGGCTGGGCCTTGGTGGGAGAATCCGGGAGCCTGGCAGCAGGGCTGGACTGGGGAGGCTGGTAGGTGGAGAGCAGCCAGGCCTTCTGTGGTGTCCATGTCCCCAACCACTAGCTAAACTGCCCAGGGCTCCCTGGCCAGGGGCAGTAATTATGCAGGGTGCTGCAGGCATCCTCATCACGCCTGTGCTCAGCTCCACACCACGCAGTCCCTGCTGATGTCAGGCCTCCTTGCAAGTGAGATTTGAAATAATGTAATTCACCAGCTCACAACTGAATGGGAAAAAAAATCAATAGTTCCTCTTTCCCCTCAGAAGCATATCATATTAGAGTGAGGAGACACTGAAACAACAAGGCCTGAATTGGAAAACTGATCCCGAATCTAGGATCGTAGTAGAGATTCTCCAAGACGGTTGCCTGGAGGCAGCCGTGTGGGAGAGATCCCATTAATGCTCTTGCCCCAGGGGTAGTGTGAGGCAGCCACCAAACTGCAATAATGCAGAGACTGCAGAGAAAATCCCTGCAGCGTATCAGCAGCCTCCAAGCTGCTTTTCCATTCGTGAAGATTGTTGTTCTTTCATCTCCACTTCTGGGCTTTGCCTTTCTCTCTCCTCTGTCTTTGCCTTCTACCTGATTGGTTTGCCAAGACAATGGCTTTATGGGACTGAGAGCATTAGAAATCATCTGGAGAAAGAGGAGAGCTTTGCATTTTTCCAGAAATTCTGATTTTTTTCCCCCTTTTTTTGGTAAGGACTTTTCTTTCTTTTTTAGAGATGGTGTTTCCCTCTGTCACATGGGCGGGAGTGCAGTGGTATGATCATGGCTCATTACAGCCTTTTACTCCTGAGCTCAAGTGATCCTCCTGCCTCAGCCTTCCAAGTGCTAGGATTGTAAATGCATGTCGCCATGCCTGGCTAATTTTCTAATTTTTTGTAGAGATGGGGGGGGTAGTCTTGCTGTGTTGCCAGGTTGGACTTGAACTCCTGGCCTGAAGTGATCTTTCTACCTCAGCCTCCTGAGTCACTGGGATTACAGGTTTTTTTTTTTCCCCACCCCTCCTTTTTAAGTAAAGTAGACATCTTGCTTTTCCCAGGAATTCACGAGGCAGATAAATATTTGCCAAGACAGCAAATGCAGTGAGACAGGAGTGTGTGAGCAATGCGGGCCAGATGGGTGCCCGGGGTGAGGCTTCCCTGCATAGGCGACATCTGCAGCGTTCAGGACCTCCCTGCAGGTTTGCCCTCTCCACTCAGATTTATCCTGTCTGTCCTTCTTAGTTTGGTGATGATACTCATACACTAATTTTAATATCTCTGTTATTTACAAACTGTCCTACTTGCTTACAATAACCCTATAAAGTCTGTTGGGCAATATAATGTTTTTATGCCCATTTTGCAGATGAGGTTGCTGAGGGTCCAAGTTCACACAGCCATAAAAGTGGTGCCCTCATGTCTTTGGCCAATTTTTAATGCAGAGGGAATCCAGAGATGGTTCAAACTTATGGCCTGGGAGAGACCAGGCCTTGGACAGAGTGCTTGGTCAAGCAATGGAAAGAAGTCCAGCCCAGCAGAGCATGGGTCTGTAGGCCCAAGGACAAGAGAATGGATGTCCCTCCAGGCCAGGGATGGTTGTCTCTGTGCGCCTAGTGTTGCCTGGTTGGATTGGAGCCAAGGAGTATCTAAAAATAGGCAGCCTGGGGAGACCAAACAGGCAACTGTCTCAAGTCAGAGAGGTCTGTCAGACTTCCCAAAGAAAGAAATGTGAGAGGAAGAGAAACTGGAAAGCAAGGCCCCGCCCCAGGGCTAGAGGAACTGGTATTACTGTCTGTGAAAAGAGGGTTTGAACTGGATGATGTGGAAGGTCCTTTCTGGTTCTACAATACTTTGCACTTTAGGATTTTGTGAAATAAGTTAAAATAAACTGCCTTAAAATCCCTCATAATTCTATTCCTAGGAGCTCTATGTGAAGTTCCTCTTTGAAGTTCCCTGGGCAGGCTGTGACCATCCACAGGCCATGGTGCTCTAGCTGGCACTTTCCTAAGGGCTGGTCCCTAGAGCAGGGATCTGAGCAAACCTGCTTTCCAACCATGGCTGCTGCTGCTCAGAGCTTAGACCTCGCCTCACCACTGTGTATCCTCCCATTTTCTTCTGGAAAGTCGTCATTACAGGCAACGTGAAAAGTTTACCAAATTATAATCTGGTAAAGGAGCAAGACGGTTGGAAAAGAAGGAAGAAAGTCCCCCCTATCTGGCTGGGTACAGATGCTGCTCACCAGGAAATGTAGTTTCCCAAGAAAACAGAACCCCCATTTCCAGTTTTCATTGTGTTGTAAATTAAAAATAAAATCTTAAGCCCCCAACCACTGAACGGATTCCCTCTTGGCCGAGGAGACCCCAGAGACTCCATACAAACTGAGTTCCCAGCCCCAATGGGCCGGGAGGTTGGATTTGGCTTGTTATAATCCCTCCCTTTTGTAGCTTAGACACAACAACTGACCAGCATCATTGCTAAAACGAGATCATAAGAACTGACAGAACAGACTCTCGGTGGTAATGAGATACCAAATTATAAACAAGACCTAAGGCCATGCCAGGCAGGGATAAGTCACACACCCCTGCACCTAA